CAAACAAACAAAAAAAGCTAAGTTCACCTCTTTGTCTGTCAGTGTCTCTATCTCTCCTCTCTCTCCTCTTCTCCTCACTCCCTTCTCACAAACACACAGAAACACACACACACACACACACCAATACATTCATAATTATGTATAGTCATATATATGTATGTACTTCAGATTGGGGTAAATGATATGTGGAAAATAAAACAAGGTGAAGCAATGGAGACTAACTTATATGGAAGAGAAAATTTACATGTACTAGCGTGTTTTCTTTGAAGAGATAATATTTGAGCAGAAACTCCTGAATGATAAGAACAAAAAAGCCAAGTGAAGAACTTAAGAAAGAACCTTCTAGTCAGAAAGGAGGAAAACAATGGCAATGCAAATATCTCCAGTTAGGAATGAATTTGACAAGTTTAAAGACCAGATGGAAGGCCAATTTATCTGGAATGTAATGAGAGAAAGAGACATGAGGAGCTAAGTTCAGAGAATAAAGTGGGCAGGGCCTTGAAGGCCAAGGTAAGTAGTTTTGCTTTTATTCTAGTTTTAATAAAAAGCCACTATTGTTTTAAGCAAATACATAACACAATCATATTTAATTTTTACACGATCACTATGACTTTCTATGGAGAATTGCCTGCGGGGACATGTAAATGGAAAGGAGAGGTAGGAGGCTACTCTAGGAATCCAGAGAAATAGAGATTGCATGATGAGAGCCAAGATGGTGGAAAGAAATTGATGGGTTCAGGATATATTTTGATGAGAGAACTTGCAGGATTTCCAAAGGATAGGACAGAGAGCGAGAGAGATTTCCTGGTGTTTGACTTGATCAATTTTGTGAGTTCTGGAACCATTTACCAAGATGAGAAAAACTGATAGAACAACAGGTTTCAGGAATTGTGGAAAGGAATTTGAATGTTATTTGAAATGCATTGACAATTTATTGGATGGTTTGAAGTAGAGGTGGGGACATCATTCAATGTGTACTTTAAGGAGATCGTTTTTGTTTCTCTGTAGTGAATGAGCTAAAAGAAAGAGAAGAAAGAATGATGCCTCAGTTACTGGCTTGAATCACTGGGTAGATAATGGTGCCATATTCTGAAAGCGAAGAAAACTGAAAAGGTGTACAGGTTTTGGGGAAAAGAATTCCACATGGGAATTAAAGAATATGAGATGTCTATGAGACATTAGTGGTGCTGACAAGTGCCTGAATACGGGGCACCTGGAAAAGTCTGAGTCAGACATACCAATTTTTGAGTCATCAGCATAAAGATATTATTGAATTTGATGTGTGTGGATCAGGTCACTTAACAATAAAATTTAAGAAAAGAAGGGAAGAGGAACCATTACCAAATCTTAAGGATCATCAACACTTAGAATCAGGTAGAAAAGATACAGCAACAAAGGATCCTAAGAGGGAGTTCCTATTGTGGTCAGGGGAAGCCAAGGGAAAGTAAAGCGGCAAAAGCTAGAAAGAAAAGTCTTAAAAAAAAAAAAAGATGGAGGAAATAGTTAATTATGTTATATCCATATGCGTAAAAAGAGAATAGAATCAAGTCTACTGGATTCTGCAATTTGGAGATGATTGCAATGTTTGGTTCAAGAACAGTTAAGTAGAATGAAAACAGAAGTCAGTTCAATGAATTTACTGGTAACTAGAACATGAAGAAATTTAGGTAGCGTATGTAGACAAATCTTTCTAAACAGTAGTCTATGAAAAGAAACAGAAAAATTAGGCTATGGCAGAAGCGGGTTATGAGATTTAGGGACAGTTTATTGGAACAAGTACATATACTTTGGTGTTATGGACAGGGAAGGTTACTCAGTTAATTAGATCTTGGAGCCAGTGAAAGGTGATGGGGGATGTTTTATGTATTTTCTATTTTTTGCTGTCTGTCCCAGGAGGTTGACCTGTGTGGATTACATCTATAGAATCCTATACCTTTGGCTTTGAGTTGGGTTTGATCAAGGGAGGCCCCAGAAGGAGCTCAAAGGGAGAGGGGACTTCAGGTTATAGTTTCTATCCCTTTTTATCCCTCCTGTGGTTGCCTTAGTTTGGCTGTATTACTTACTGAAGATCACCGCTCTGCTCAAAGTGGAATCTTGTGTTGGAACCCTGACTGATACAAGAATCAGAACATATTTGTAAGGATTTGTCCAATAATTAGAGTGCCAGTTCCTCCAAAGCAGTAGACAAAGAGTAGAGAAAATGGGTGCAGATAAGTGGGTTTGGTGTGTTTTGTGGTGAGAAGGTAAAAGCATCGCATATAATTTATTTTCTTACTGAAGTAATCAACTAAGTGTTAGAGTGGGAAGGTATGAGTATAAATTAAAAAATGGATGAAATGCTCATTACATAGAATTAGAAATAGATCCTACCATAAAATGTTTGAGGGTATTAATTTTAAGTATAAACTATTAATAGTGTTTCCCTTTTCAGAAGTAGGCATGAAGAAGACAAAAAGTCATGTAGGGCAAGGTTTTGTAAAAGCAAACACCTGAGCACAAGAAGGTAATAAAGGGCTTGAGAATGTCTATTATACTAATTAACTAGGCCTGATCTAGGATCTAAGGATCTAGGCCTGATAATGAAGTGAGGTCAGGAAGGTTAATGGATAGTGGGAGAGAGTGTGTGTGTGTGTGTGTGTGTGTGTGTGTGTGTGTGTAAGGAGTGGGGGTGTATAAGGGGATTAAAGGTCATTATATAACAAGAATTGTAGGCATGAGTGTGATTGAACAATGAACTGGATGAAAGAGCTGTTAGAAATTCTAATACAAAGGAAATTCATTTTCCGACAAATGTAGAGTACCATTGAGATTGTGGGATGCGGAGGCTAAATTCCAATAAGGGAAACTATTTGGTGATGAGGAGATAAAAGGATTAAAATTGGCCGTGTTGGATGTTTCACCTAGGTGGATTTTGAATACATAGATGATGTCAATCAATAGGAGTGGGAAAAGAGGGCAAAATTATAATCTGGCAGCTAAAAAACTGAAAAGTAAAGGTTTCCCTTCCCACTTAGTAAATCTTCTGATTCAGATGTCATTGGATGACAGCAATTGTAAAGAGAGAACTTCGTATAATAAGGTATGGTATGAATCTTAAAGGAGCAGAAGTTATCACACAAGGCCAGGGAAGACATGGTTTGGGATTGCTTAGAGAGGAGGGAGACACCAAATGTGCCTCTGTCCCTGAGGGAGGTCAGGTTGACACTGAGGATAGTCTCCAGGAAAGAAGACTAAAGAAGAAGCAGTGTTTTCAGGGTCAAGTCCAGTAAAGCAGGGAGGTGAATGGGTGAAAAATTAGGTGAAGATTCCAAAAATTAAAAGTTAGGTAAAGATATGGAAAAATGTACTGATCTCTGAGCAGGACTTCTTTAGCACAGTGGAACATCAGAAGAACAGGAAACTGGTCAGGCTAAAGTGTTCATGAAACAGTTGAGGGCTAACACAGGGCAACAGGAAAGGAAATAAAGATGGAATTAGTCTTGTTTCTGAGTTAAGTAAGCCAACACATTGCTGTCATGTCCCAAACTCCTTTAGATATGATGGCCCTCGTTATATGACTTATTTTCATAGGATCAGGAAGAGGGTGATCACATTCCCAAATGGAATGGCATGGCAGACTCCTACGCTTTTTCACTTTGCTATGTTTCTCTAAAAGATCAGCTTCCAGAGGCTAAGCACATGGTCAAATAGTATGTAGTAGAGCCAATTGCACTCCAGTTTATTTACAGCACTGTCTACCGCACTATGCTCTACTTGCTCCCAATAAGTATGCTAAGAATGGGTTCTCTTAGCACTTAAATATACATATTTTTAGTAGGGCCTGCTTTACAGAGCCTTATAGGATTTGAGTTCTCAATTTCTCTTCATTTCACCTTGTTCTACTAATTTTCTCACTTACTGGATGTGACTTCATTCATACTAATGGTTGTTGTACTCTTCCTGCAACAGTCCAGTGTCATATTGGTCTCAGAGCTCTTTACTTCTGTGTCCTTGGTCTGAAATGCTCTTCTTTCAGATTTTCAAATGGCTAGACTCCTCTTCTTCCTTTAGGTTCTACCTCATCTCATATCTCCTCAGAAAAGAGTTCCAGACATATTACTCAATTTTGTTTTATTTTCCATCATGTGACCAAGTACCTTGCAATTGTTCTGTATCCTATTGCCCTGTTCTATGTTTTTGTATTATTAATCACATCTGAAATTATGTGTTCTATTTGTTTAGGCATTTGTTATTAGTTTTCTCCTCAAAATCAACTTTATAATTCAGAGATTTCTCTTTTATGTAGAGGAGAATTGGCTCATAGTAGGTGAGTCATAAAAGGTTGTTGGATGAATGTATAAGCACTTGACAAATGCTAGTGCTTTTAATATTCTAAATTAAACTATTCTAATTAAATATAGTAGTTGTAGTTTTCCCCTATAATGAAATATAGTTGTTGTAATTTTCATGGTCATTAGAACATGATAAAATATGCTATGAATTCTGGTTCATAGAACATGGTAGGTGATTTATGCAATGACTTTTTTCCATTCTTTTAGAAATAGATTCCACTAAAACAACATACCAGATATTGATTAAATGGTATAATTCAAGTTGGGGTATTGTAATCTTGGTGAAATATATCTCTATGCATTATTTATTATGTCTATATATATTATAACTGTATGCATTATATGTTATATAGCATATGTCACATTATATATTATTTATTTTATATGATATAAGATATAGGTGGTATAAGGTATATAACATCATCTTTTTATTATATAATCATGGTAAAATTATGTTATTTAAATATTCTTTTGTGAGGCATGTATATTTCTGAAATAATCTGCCATCTTAGTATTTCAAACTGTACTAATTACAATTAGATAAAAAAATGAAATTGACTTTTGCCCTAAATTAATGTAAAATGTTTTATCTTCTAAGGAAAGCTGTAATTCTAATAGTAAGTTTTATGGTTAACTGACACTTTCTACTTTTATGTTCACTATTTCCAGGAAGAACCCTATGTCCTATTTAAGAAGTCTGATAAACCTCTCTATGGAAATGATCGATTTGAAGGCTATTGCATCGACCTTCTCAGAGAGTTATCTACAATCCTTGGCTTTACATATGAAATTAGACTTGTGGAAGATGGCAAATATGGAGCCCAAGATGATGCCAATGGACAGTGGAATGGGATGGTTCGTGAACTAATTGATCATGTAAGTCTCTTTTCTCATTATTTATTACCTTTGGTAGATTGCTAAAAGATTTACGTTTTTTGATGGTTATAGATTAATAATGTCAAAAAGCAATAATATATTTAAGTATCTGTTTCATTCAGTAATTTTATTAAAAGTATATATTATTTTTGCCATTAAATATAAAAAATCTAAGAAGGAGTTTTGGTTCTATTAACTAGTACTTAGTGATTTAATGTTTTGAAGTATTTGCTCTTAATTTGTAAAACGGAATGTGGTTTTTTTCACTTTTTTAATGTAACTTTCTACTCAACAGAGAGAATGGGTAAAATCTAAATTTCATGATAAAAATTTCCTATGTTAGGATAGGATACCTCTTATCTTTAGAGATGAGAGAAATCTATACGTAAAAAGCATGAAATAAGATCCTATATAAAAATAAAAAATATATTAAGGAGGACAGACATTTTATTTCATGTTTTTATTGAATAAGCCAAGAATATCATTTTGGCCATGACAGCATTATTTCATATTTTCTAAGTCGATAGTGTTAATTAATTTATCTCTTTGAAATAAACTCATACCTTTTAAATATTATAACATTGTATTTGACTTTGTATTTTGTAAAATTTAAGTTTATTTTGACATTTTCCATAATATTAAGGTATAACATTATTACTAAGAATTCTAAAAAATATTAAAAATAATGTTATTTTAAATAACATTGTGAAATGGACCCTAAATGAAAATTCTTAACTATGGAAGTAGCAAATATAGGCAATCTTCAAAGCATTTTGAAAGTATTTTATTAATTACAAAGTTTATTATCAAGACTAAGAAAAAGATAATAGTGTCATCTGAATAATTAGTGATAATATCTGAAGATTTTTTAATGCAGTATCTGACATTAGACATATAGTAGATAATACATAAAGACATAACTAATAAGCCCAGACTTTGTGTCTTATTATTTATTCTATCTTTCTACCATAGTGTTCATGAGTATTCTTTTTGAGGACTAAGAAGAAAATATTTTGACATTATCATAATAAGAATGATGTAGGGATTATAGTTGTTATTAAAATTAATTTTGAATTGAAATAAGTCAGTAAAATCAGTTTTAAGTTTTAATGTAAAATTTATTCATTAAACCTTTGGTATTCAAATACTTCAGTGCTTTCCTATCTTAATTAACTATGTCTTGCGAATGGTAGTTTATATTAGAATTAATTAAACATAGGAAGTAATTGATAGAGAATCAAATTTACTGTTATATTGCCTATTTAATGCAATAGGCAAGATCAAGGAGAAAATTATATTTAGGATATCAGCAAGGAAGGAATACCTAATTTTTTTTGAAAATTACTACTTAATATATATTTTTAGTCAAATAAATTATCATAGGAAAAATTCACAATATTTTTGGATCTCCTTATACTTATTTTATAGTTTTGTATCGTATCAAATTTGAATTATATATAAGATTAAAAGTGAAGCGATTTATTGTTGTTGCTTAAATTCTTTAAAAATTTAATCTAGCATTTCTCAAATACATTTTTTAAAAATAAAATTTGCCCATAAATTTATTATTTGGTACATTTCATGAAATGATAATAGCATATGTCCTCCTAAAGAGGAAGTAAAGGAGCAATCTATGCAGTTTTTCCTTTATATAGCTATCCTACTCTTTTTAATATTTTAACTCTAAGAGGTTTTTCCATCAGGCTATAAACATCATTTGAATTTTTATCATAATGAAGTGACCTGGGTTATTCTATTTAAAGTTTGTTGGGAGGCTATAAAAGTTTTTTGTGAGTCATCAAAATAGTTAAAATCTAAATCAGGACCCTATATTACCATATCAGTTCACTGCATCCATTGTCCTGGTTATTATGGTATATACTTGGTAATATTCATTTGCTTCAAATGCTGAAAATTACTAGGAAACACCAATAATACAAGTGCAGAAAGTGTTCAGCATTCACTAATATTTATTGAAAGAATGACACAAATGTTCCACAGTATTTTACAACAAATGTTAAACTCAAGCACCATGGTCCTTAGAGAATATCCTACATATTTTCCAAATGTTTTTGTTTTTTATGTAGCCTTCCAAAAGCCCCGTGAATGTGTCTATTCAAGGACCAAATAAAGAAATAAACAGTGACATATTTTCTTTTTGAAATTAAAGTACCGTAACTTTTTCTATAATATTTTATGAAATATTTTATCAAATTTTTATTCTTAAAAGCAAGCTTAGCTATTAAACCTGACATAGTAAAGATGAGTTTACAGGACCTGTAATCCATATATTGTATTAAGTTGGGCATACATTTTCCTTGAAGCTTTGGGTTGTGTTATTCCTCATAGCTAATGCTCATTTATGGGCTCATGAGACAACTGTTGTGAGTATGTTATTCATAAAGCCAACCAGAATTATTTATCAGCATGAAGGAAAACACCTAAACTGCAATAAGCTAGCAGCACATATTATAATTGGACCGCTTAAAAGAAAGAAGGGCAGTTAACTTACTTTCAAATCTCTGGTGATGTCTGCCTTGGATGTGGAAAACTTCAGGAAGATTTATGTTTGTAAGCATCCATACATGAGTTAATAAAGCAGCATGCAATATTTCTGTATGTGCAGATTAAAAATAGACCTCAGATCTGTCCCTATCTTCCAGTTTTACACCAACCAATCTAGTTCAAACTCTTGCCACCTCTTTATGTCTTTATTGTATACTTCCCGCCTCTTCTTTTGGAATCCACCCGCACATTATAGTCAGAATCTTATTTAATCATCAAGGTCTTCTCAAAGCTTTTCACTCAAAGCACTGCAGAGATCCTCAAAAGATTGCAGTATAAAATTTCAAGTACTCATGTTGACCTGTAATTTCTTTCCCACAGTCCCTTGACCCCCCAGTGATTCCATGCAATCCTTTAGCTCTCTTATCTTGTCACCTATTTAAAGTTTACCTCTAGGGTTCTGTGTTAGGGCCCTGCTCCACAAGGCCTTTCCTGACCATTTCATTTCTCTTTTTTGAACACCTGTAGAACTACTACTTCTGTGCTTAATCACAGACACTCCTTGTTGCTTGAAATTCTTTGTCCTTTTATCTTCACACAGAATAAGCCCCAGCTGGAGGCAACTTAAACCAGTGATCTGCTGGGGCTTCTCTGACTTAGTGTCATAATGCTGATAAAATGTGTGAGGGAATAGTTCATAGTCATCCTCCACAGATCTACAATTACATCTTAATTGTGCAAATTTGGGAAGTTGAGTGTGATCTATCTATCATCTCTCTCTCTTCCTCTTCCCTCTCTTCTTCTCCCTACTTACCTATCATCTATCTATCATCTACCTATCATCTATGCTGTGTAGCCTTGGGAAAGTTATTTATCCTGTCTTAAGGTCAGTTTTAGCATATGTACAATGGGGATAATGATACTTTATAGAATGATGGTGTGGACTAATGTTAATATCTGAGAGTGGAACAGCACTGTAGCCTTTTTTAACTTAGTCAAATACATCAATGGGACAGCAGAGATGGGGCACAGATGGGGAAAACACAGGGAAATGAAGAAAGACAAAAGAATGATTTAAGTGTTGTCAGACAGTGAAACTGATTCCACTGTAGGTCTCATAAATTACTGTGTAAAAAGTTCTTCACATAGATGGATACTCTCATGTATACAGATACAGATTAAAAAACAAAAAACAAACAAAAAACTCAAGTCAAAAGACTACCACATACTTAACCTGTGTGCAATCATAGAAGCTAAACTTAGTTCTACAACTCGGCTATTTAAGATATTTTCAAGATATCTTAGAAGCGGACCCCCATTTAGGACATGAATATTTTGCACAGATCTTAGTGTGTTACTTGGCAGATGAGAAACACAAGACAAGTCATTGTTGTTATTTTATTATGATGATGATGGTGATGATTATTATTACTGTAATGATATTCAAATGGTACCAGATGTTTTCTTACATGTTACTTTATCTTGGCTATTAAACACTGTAATTTAGTTTACCAGATTACTATTTAACCATAATTATATTTAAAAGAAATAATTGACTATATGTGTGATATGATGTTATCAGAGCAAAATGGCAATTTTTAATAACCTAAAAATGAGAGATGTTTAAAGCCATATTCTCAGTTCTTTTACCTCATTAGAATTGAGTAGATTAGACTATGATAAGTGTTTGTTTTTTAAGTAACATTTTAAGCCTAGCTTTTTTAGAGGTGCCAAAGAACTTTACAACTCCTTTATGATTAAAGAGATTTATGTTTTCCTATCATTACCATTTGTGATTGGTAAGAGAGCATATTGGTCAATAAAAGCTTTTTTTTCTTTTTAATGAGACTCCTTTTTTATAATTTCAAGTACTGTTGAAATTTCAAAATCAAACAAACAAAAACTTTATCATTTGACAGTTAAAAAAAAAAAAAAACTACCAGAAAGAAATTCTGTTTCAGTTTAGAAAACAACTAAGGCAAAGTGAGAAGTGTGTTAAGATCGAAATTTATTTTACATTATTTTAAAGAAGATCCTTGATGCTATGGTTTCTCAGCTGCACGAATGCTTCCCAGCATGCTGCCTTAACATTGCGATTGGTATTTAACACTATCAAGCCTTTTATGATTCATAAATGAGCCTTAGAGGACCTTACTATACTTTGCTTTTGCCTCCTGATTGCTCTTTTATTATATACTAGGGAAGAAATCTAATATTTGTTTTTCAGGGAATTTAAAAAGGTTCCAAGTGTTATCACAAAAATCAGAAGGCTAAATCAAAAAACAGTTTCTACTAAATAGGAATTGACTTGCACCATAGCTTTGAATTTTGATAACATGTTGTCTTGATTTTGCACTCCAGTGGAAGCATTCTAATATTTTCAGAAAAAAAAAATGAACAGTAAAATTATTATCACTATTATTTTCTTGAGTTTTCGGAAAAGTAAAACTATAAGTGTAAACTTACTTATAATTTTTAATGACCCCCAAATGAAA